ACTTTAATGGATTTTGTTCATATGTACTGACAAAGGAGTGTGGTAGAACTGTACTTCATTTCAAATCAACGCTGATTTCCGAGGTAGAGATGGTGAAAATCCTTACGAACCTCCAACCAGAATGGTCGCACTGGACATATATATTGATGGTAAATCTGTAGTCCGTGTTAACGCAGATAATTCTATTCAGGTGAGTTATTTGTTTACTGACTGACTTTACACAAAATTGACATATAATCACATCCATTCAATTTCCAGAGCAACCACCATATATTATATTATATTATATTATATTATATTATATTATATTATATTATATTATATTATATTATATTATATTATATTATATTATATTATATTATATTATATTATATTATATTATATTATATTATATTATAGATAAATGGCAAGACGATGATTGGAAACCATGCTGCTATTCAAAAGAATGGAGGAACTGTGAAACATAATGGTTCAAAAATATCGATCGACCTGGTCAAGCCAGCTGTATCTGTGAATTGGGACAGACATTCGCACGCTATAGCGATTGGGTTTGAAGACAGTGAAATGATTGGAAAGGTGTGTGGATTACTCGGAAATGCTGATGGAAATCCTCATAATGATTTCGTCATGGCAGATGGTAAACGAACATCGGATTCCAGTGACTTTGGAAACAGTTGGATGATTCCTGGAAGGTAGGGAAATCTTCCCAGTCAGTATATATATGTTTTATTTCTGGCATGACATTTGCTATTGCATGCGAAACAGCATGTTAGATAAACAAAACGCCGTCATGTACGCCCTATGTACATGCCTTTGTTTAAGACATGCAGCCCTGGAATTGATATACAGAAAAAAAAACCAGTGTGCATTACCTGGACAAATAAAATAATGTATATGTTGTGTACAAAAGATCATATTTTTACCGCTGCTTTATTACAAATAATGACTATTTTGTGTCAGTACATGTATAGTAATTTCTTCTTTTTTTCAGTTGTCCAACGTTATAACTGAAGTGTCCAGAATTTGACAAGTTGCATGTAAAAATATGGCATTGGTGACTGGTGCACAGTTCAAATAAAATTCGTCTAATGAAAGTATTTTTGTCCTGTTATTTTTAGCAAGTGTGTACTCAATGATTATAGTCATAAATTCAAACATTTTGGCATAACAAATATTTGAAATTATTATTCCACAGTTTCTGTTCATCCAGGTATTAAATGTGGGTCAGAACAAAAAGCGTTATTTAATTTAGACAATATACAGAACAAAAAGAGTTCACAACTCCTTAAGTGGTGTGTAAGAACAGGTACCATAGCTCACACCTCACAGCGCATTGACGGCGAAGACGAATATATCTAGTCAGTGAGCTATTACACTAATATATTGAATATGGGGGGGGGAAATAGAACCTTTGCAACCATATTGGATTGAATTTAAACCGGAAGTGGCTATTTGAGGGTTCAAGCAATCAGATTGATAACTGGCATATAGGAAAACATATACATATCTGCAATAAAATCTTTAGCGGTCGCATGACTGTAAACTACCTTTCCTGAAAGTCTGGACAACAGAAATGAGATATGGCAGCATGTTCTCAACCTCTGAGAGGTGTGCTTCACAAAAGTTGAGACGGGCTGCCTTGATGTATCATTTTACTACCATGCTCATGTACATCAACCAGAACTTACTCATGGATATTTTCATTGAAGTGTTAAATTCATAAAGTAGCCGTTTTACAGTACCAAGTGACACTGATGTTGCATCCACACAGGCAGTTCGGTAATTGAATGTGTCATCAAATATTATTATCTATGAAACACCATTTGAATACTTCCCTGATATTATTTTGTTAGCTGTTCTACGACGACAGATTTCAGCTTTGACATGAATATCTTAGTACATGGAATCCTCCTATTCGAAGAATACACTTTTAATATGTATTCGGTTCTTTCGTTTGAGAGTAAGGGCTATCTTATAAAGTGGTTAAATATCGTTTTATTAAACATTCATCTGAGGTACCAGGGATCCTACTTCGAAACCTCTGATCGACTGAACAAAGACACAAACACAGATGAATACGTGTCAACTTCTGGCCTCAGTCGCCCTGTGGAGAGCCCGACAAGGCTGGTTTGCCTCGCCGGTAACTCTGCCAAGAGTAACTAAGACCTGCTTTATTTACTTCTCCAAACCTTAGCCAATTACAGGGGAGTTTAAGAACTTAAGGTGTAGCCTCCATACATTCTACTCATACGCATCCAATCACACGAAGTACATAACACGTCATATA